TTAAGATAAAACGAATAAATAGGAAGGTATAGTGCGAGCGACAGCAATTTTTAAACCGCGATCACACGTGATCCCGACTGTATTTCTCGAAGAGTGCTCTTGGCGTCTCTCTGCTTTCTTTCTGCCGCATTTAACGTAGATGATCGAACGCGTTTACTTTTCTCGCTCGCCGTTTTATCGAACTTCATCATGGACAGCTACGTCGTGAGTTCTTCGTAGTATGAAATCTTCTAAAATGTACGTATTTATATACTATACGCATCGAGTCTATACACACAAAGGGAAGATATATATACGAGTGTCACAGAAGCACGCTGAAATAAATCTCATCTGAAAAAGTAATATTAAAACTATTATTTTTGAAAAACTACCCTGGGACTTACCTGAAATTGTTTGTTGTATCTTCTTACAAACTGTGTGAGCGAATTTGTAAAAGTTGCCTATTTTCAAGGACGTCAGTCGTCAATGCTCGGATAACGCAGTTGGAAAACTGATAAAAAGCTAGTATTGGTAAATTTAGCTTCTGAGAGACTCGTACGCGCGTTGGGGAAGATTATTGCGAATGCTCTTTTAATCTGTGTACATACATGCCAACGTGACGCGACATCGTGTAATTGCGTGTAAAAATATTTTCAAGATTAACGTTTTTGCTCAGATCGAAACTGTCGAACGATACTCTCGGTTATTAATAGCGGAAACGAGTGTGTGTCCTATATTAGAATGGAGTTAGAAAGCGGAGTACGACAATGGCAGCCTTCTTTTTTAGATACTTGATGTAGTATCGTAAGACAAAGTCGAGCAAGAATAAGAAACGCGTACGCGACAGAACACGCAGACACGATAAAAGAGAACAAAAAAAGAAAAATACAAAAAAAATACAAAAAAAAAAAATGAAAATGAATATTATCGTTGACACGACAGGCAAATCACTAAGATCTAGACTATTCTATAGACTAGAAACGATGTCTGAAATATCGATAAGACGTCGTGTGTATGTACCTATAATCGTTTGTAACCTGGAGAGGAATCGATACATCTATCGACCAATCCTTTTTCATACAAAGAAGTCTGTACATAGGTGAAAAAGAAGGAGAAAAAGAAGATGGAACGAAATGAAAAGAAGCATGCCGAGGTATTCAGCTCCCTCCTAAAAAAAAAAAGATATTGTATCATAATAATAATGACGACGATGATAATGCTTATGATGCAGTCGTGCAGAACGCGATTTAAACTTACGAAGAAAGAAAGAAGCAAACGAAACGAGATTTAAAAATAGAGAGAGAGAGTGAGTGAGAGAGAGAGAGTGAGAGAGAGGAAAGAGGAAGAAAAAGCGAAAGAGAAAAAAAAAGAAAATGGAAAAGTGAAATAATAATAATTAAATAAAAAATTTAAAAAAAAGGCTAAAAAGCGATATTACCTACGAACCCGCTATTAATGCGAATTAATTCAAATAAATTAACTACAATTAATAGCGAGCGAGAGCATACCACGCCTACAGTAAACTACAGGTGTAGCATACACGATAATATTATTATCAAAACAGTTCAATGTAAATTGTTATTTTTGTTGAAATAAAAATCACCTCCGTTATAATAACGAGCACCCCTTTTGACTCTTGTCTCCGTGAACGATTATTATAATAGTTTTATCGTAGCCGATATATATCGTGGATATACAGAGCGTACATATAATGTGTACGTATAATTATAGTACGTTTTTTCTCTCCCCAAGACGCGTTCAGTGCCGTATGAAATCTGAAGTTCCTGGTAGATTAATATAAAATTCAAATTTAAGAATTCACACAAATTATATCGAAATATTTAATTAGAATGAATCAGGTCTTTGGTTTCGATAATATTTATTTATATTTTACCTTTTGTTGTTCGTCGTTTTAGTTCATTAGTGATTCATGTAAGTTTCGCTTATTGTTAGTGAAAGAAAACACTGATTTTTTGATATTCGATAAGTATTCTTCTTTCGAAATAGATAAAAAAAAAAAATATATATATATATATAATGGTTTCATTGTACAGTCAATTATTTAAATAAGATCTAAGGAGATATGTCGTTCTTTTTTTTTTATTAATAAATATCGTAATACTTGACTGAAGAAATATATATATATACATAAGGAAATAATCGTACCTGTCCAAAATGATGGTACTTACTATTAAGATAGAAACTATTTATCGAACAAACGAGGCAACTTAACGACTATCTGTACGACTGTATTTTAATGTTGAAATAATATCCATTTCAAGCGACGGTTAATTAATAGTTTGATCACTCTGTTCTATTTTATACAGTACGTGTGCAAAATATGCAAATAACAAATTGTTCCTTTGTCACTGTATTGAGTTATCACTTATGCTAGATTAAACAGATCTAGTATCGCTCATAATTATTTTATAATAAGAAATTCGCAATTTATAATTAATCTGTTTATTGTTCGATGATTTACAACAATTTCAGTTTAACGAATAAGAGTAATAAATCATAGATCAATGTGAAATTTATTCAGAAGAATTCAACACATTGATGTCAATGAAATTACAATAGTGATTTATTTTATTTGAAATTATTAATTGAATTTTTATAAATGTCAAAAATAAATTCTTACAATGCTGTCTTTTTCCCCTTTTTCACTTCATTATTACTAGCAATATTATCTAACATTTCTATCAAGTTAGTAGTATATTAAAAATGTACTTAAAAGTACAGTCTTCCTATTTGTACAACATTTTGAAATTATTATTTGAGATTAATTATGAGCGATACTATACTTAAATAAATATTAGTTTTATACAATAATACAGACATACTTTTTACAATAATACATACATTTTTTTACTTTATATTTGATATTTATTACAAAACGCACATACACAAGATAATACATAAGAAGCACTTACAAATTAAAAGTTATATAAATACGATTAACAAATAAAGTTGAAATTCCTTGATAAATTTTTTTCAATGTTTGATCAAATTTGTTGCAATGGTAATTTCTGTTCACTTTACTCTCAGTTTTCTCTCGAATTACCCTGTCTATTGAGATCATCTCGTTACAAATAACATATAACATGCATTTCTGAAGCAACAACTTTACTTTAATTATCGTATTGATTACGTCTTTTACAATGAAATTCTTAAACTAACCATTCAGTTTCATGGGTTGCATTTTTTTTTGTGTATATTTCGTTACTCCTGTGAATAGTCTAATTCCAAATTTATTTATTATTTAATTCTTAATACGAAAGTACAAAAATAAAGAACTTATATTATCTTCCACACTTTCATTGCATTATATATATATATCATGTTCTCACTTTGTACGCGTTTCGGATATTTAAATCTTAAAAATACGATTAGTATATATGTGATAAAAACAAAATATGAAAAAAAATAAATAAATTAAAGATTTTGTTTGATAAAAATAAAAAAAAATTAATATATTTTCTTTGTATATACTGATCTTAATAATTACTTTAATTAGTAACAAAATATGATGGATATAATTGTGCATAATAATAATTATAAATTCTATTGCATTTACTATGTATACTGTTTCCAATGATTGTACCTCACGATTCACGGGTATCTTTTGAAATATACGTTTAAGGTATGAACATTTTGACAAAATTTAAAATAGTTACTGTAAATTAAATTATAAATGAACTTTACGAAAGAATATTTTATTACAAACAGAGCAATTAAAATTAAATTTCAGTGTTTATTTTCTTCATAAAACTGAAATAGTGCGTTTTTAAATAAATTTTAGTATTAAAACAGTGTACACCCGAGACTTCTATTTTGTGTTTGAAAAGCATTTTATTCTTGTTCTATTTTCTCCAAGTTTTAAAGAAATAACTAAAGAATAACTTTACTTTGTCATCAATCAATTTCACAATTAAAATTTCAAGTTTGTGAAAGTTTTTATATATCTTATATGTACATATAAGTCAAATTAGTCAAATTAGTTATGTAACACAATAATAGTTTGCAAATCAGGTACATGACATAGTGAATTATAAATACATACATGATATAATGAAGCACAATGACTTATTACATAAAAATTACCATCGAAGAGAAACGTCCAGTAACAGTATTTTTATATATATGTCAATAATACTTTACATATATAATAATAATAATAATAAAACTTATTTCTTTAAAATTAAATGCTATGAGTAATAAAATATTACTGTAATATGTATTCAAACACTGAAAACATCGTGCTATAATGATATCATATTGCAATTATCGTTTTACGACGTATTTATAAGAGGCAATATTTTACGTTTTATATTTTATGATCGTTAATGAATTTATTGTTATAAAAATGTTATAAAATTATTTGTCATTGTCGTTTTTAATAGTTATTTTTTCTGTGCAAAATATAGAGATTTTCTATATCACAGTATGCAATATATTAATGTTCAGTTTCACAAGTGTAAAAATTAGCACCCTATTTATTTAGCTATTCTTGTAGAGAAGATTTCACTGCTTAGTGGCTAGATTATAAACTTTGATTGCCGCTAGGAAATGCAACAGTAAAAAATAAATATTTGAAAACCAGTATAATGATAATTAATCGTAATAAGATGTATACAAAATATTCCACAAAATGGCGGCTGTCATAAGTATAGTGTAGGTAATAATACTGGCCCACCATACAACTTTTTCCCATGTTTTCACTTCGAGATTACGAAGTACGTTTATACCTACGAGTAGGCCCGCAATGGCACCAGCAAAATGAGCAACGTAACCAACTTGGTCGTTGGCTTCTAACACATAACGATTATATATCGCTTGACTGATATCAACAACCGTCACAACAAGGAATACTAATAATTGTAAGATAGCAAATTCCATTTGCGACCAATTCATTACAATGGTTGCTACATGAGCAGTAATTAATGCATATACACCACCTGATGCTCCGGCCAAATATACTGTGGGATCTGATACAGAGGTACCAAGTGATCCTGCTATCACTCCTGCTATATATATAGTCAATACTCTCCACCATTTGTGTACCATCTCCAATGGAATACCAAGCATTATTTGCACAAGTAGGTTTACTACTAGATGAAATACACTATATAAAGGAAAGTATTTTAATTATTTGATCACATAAATGTAGTTACATATACAATTAAAGAGAAATACATACCCCACATGTACAAACATGTATGTTAAATACCTCCATGCTTCGTATCTTTTGTGTGGATTATAAATAAATAACGTAGCTGCTGGTCCTTCAACCGAAGGTGATTTGTGTACAATTACATCATATAAAAATAAAGTAATTTCTAATACAGATATAATTATCATTGCTAATGCTGGAGGTTTACAACTATATTCTTCCTCATATTGTCCATCAGGGATGTCACTTGATCTTGCTATTTCGAAGGTAGTTGGTCTTTGTGGAACCATAGATTGTACATATCTCTGCACAAGGTGGCCAAAAACACCTTGCATATCTTTCCTGTGAATCTAAGAAGAAACATAGAGTTTGTCTATTAGTTTCACATTGAATAATAAATGTTATTATGAAGTAATCTCTAAAGGAAGTAAAATAGATTTTACAATTAAACAAATTCAACTGATTTAATTAGTGATCAACGGATAATTGTTAATCTATCAAGAAATATTCTTTTACCAGTATATAAAACAATCATGATGAAAATAATCATGTATCAAATAAAGGACATAAATATTATTTGATTTTAAGAAGAAGCAGAATTGCAATAAAAGTAACAAAATATGAAAATACCATAGCTATAAATTCTGGATAATCCAAGTATCCTGAATCATCTAGATCTGCCTTATGCATAATTGTATGAACAACTCTGGTTGGAATATCATTAGAATAACTAGAACTGCGTATCATAGCTCTTAATTCTTGATATGAGATTTTCCCATCACCGTCCAGGTCATATTTCTCAAATATAGATTTCCAATGCTGAAAATACCAAAATTATTATACACTTTTCGTGAAATTTATAATATATAATATATAATGTTTGTAATAATTTATAATATATAATGTTTGTAAAGGTTATGAGACACTATAATGAAAATTATATGCAGCAAAAATGAGTTCTTACAGAATTATTATATTGCAGTGGTATTGTTATACCAGACTCTCCTCCCTGATTGCTTGACATTCTTATTAATTTGAAACCTCTGTAAAAATGCAAAATAAAACTTAACATAAATAAACAAGATTAATATTAGGTTACTAATATTAACTTAATTTCACTATCCAACTATCTTTATTCCAACAAAAGAAGCAAATTAGTTCTTTAAAATGTAAAGTAATTTACCATTATTGAAATTAGTAGCAAAAGTACTTTAAACATCTAATATAAGAGAAAATATATGTGTGATATGAATATTTAAATATCTTTAATACCTGTGTTTGATTAACAGTTAAATTGTGTACTAAATATACGCAAATGACGCAAATTACGTCTACTTTTACAGCGATCTACACGATCTACTAAATTCTTTAGTTATTACCGAATAATCTGTTCCATACATTATTTACACGAATGATACACATTTAGTTTATCTTATCAGATCGATGCATTATCCGGAATATCGACAAAGATTTGAGTATTAGACAAATCACGGGCATATTGTATATGTACGTACGATTTAATATATATTCTATATACAAATTGTAATGTAGGCACGTTTCGTTTATTTTGAAAAGTACCATTGATCTTAATACCTTAATACAGTCAACAAGAATCTTAATCGGCAGTGTCGGATAGTTTAGATTATTTTCGAACGGAACTCCCCATTATTGTGTCGGTTAGTATTACAGTACAAACACTCGTATCTCATCAGCTACAACAGAACACGTTTTGAAGACTGTACGGTTGAAAGTCGCCAGCGTCGCAACAGGTGAACTTAAAACGACCCAGACAACGCACGAGAAAGTACTGTAAGATATACTACGGTAGAATACTGTAATTATTTCTTTATTTAGATAACAATACAGTTCTACCTGTGTCCATACATTTAGGGAAAATATATACTTTTTATCAATGGTGAAATTACAAATCTAATTCTTCATTATAACATAAATCGTTTCCTTTTTTTTTTAATTCTTTTTCTTCTTTTCTTTCGTTTGTAACAATTTGGAATAAATCAGCAGAATTGATGTACAGATTTAATGGAAGAAAACTTGATAAGTTACATGTCATTAGTGTTGCAATAACTAAGAAATATCCTCATTGATGATTCACTCAATTTTCTTAGTGAATCACGAAATTCGCGTATATGTATGTGTAGATAACATGGATGCGTATACTTTGCTTTCATCAAAAAGATTATTAATGAAATCTAGAATTGCGTTCAGTATCAACAATTATTCAGAATGTAACGGAGTAGAATTGCGAAACGTTCGACTTCAACAGCAGATTCATCTTGAGTTATATACACATTTAAATTAAAGGTTATTTCAGATTCATTTATTAATCGTCGTTAAGATAATATAATATAAATACAATTTCATTTATTTTTTTTTTCTACTATTCAAAATCTTACAATTGAAAGCTAATGCTTTTTAAACGCAATTAAAGTACCTTATAAATATACATCCATGTACATATATATATGTATATATCTATACATATAACTTTTGATGTTTAATCACTTGCGAAAGATATCTATAAAATATTGCCGTTTTTATTACGTGTTTTGTCTTAAAAAGCTGATTCAACTGGATGTGAGTTCTCACTCTTACAACTACATATTATTTCTATGTCAGAAGCGATTCGTTAACAATCATAGCAAGAGGGTGCAGACAACCATAAAACCCACATAGAACTTTCATTAATCCACGTATAACTTTCAAATACAATTATGTATTCACACCTGTTGCCCAGCAACGGAGGATGGTATAATCAATATACAATACTTTCGTACGCGATTGTCGGTACGTGCACGATGGTTGCCATCAGTTGGTCTTTTTGCCTGACACTCAAATGTTCTTTTGTTTCCTAGATGGATCTCCAATCGACTAACCGACGGTAAAAAAAAAAAAAATGGCAAATAAGATACAAAAGCAAAAAATAGCCGTCAATTACAAAGTCAAAGAACCTATAAGCAACTTCAAAATAAGGTAACACCTTCAAGTTTCATTTGTCGTTGTAATGCGCCATGAAGTTTTGCAAATGGCAAAAAGAAATCATAAAACTATCGTTCGTCGTGCTGTTCGTTTTTGTTAGTTGCAGTATACATTGAAACATACAATTAATACTATTGAGGTCGTCTTGTCAGTCAAAAAAAAGTCATTGTGAGATTAATGCCGATTGATAGATCAACTGCGATTTTTTGGCCGCCGAAACTTGTATCAGACGTGTCGATAGAATTAGAACGTCGGCCATCTGGCAGAGGTTGTTTCCACCTTCTAAATTGTATTTATCTTTCGCGTGTTTATTGTTACAGAGTCAAAATCGTGCAGCAAAGGCCTTTGCTTGCAGAACTACTCGAGAACGAAGGGGATACCAGGGACTCGAATTTCCTCGAGGAGGAGGATCGTATTTTTGGCTGGCAGGAAAAAGTATTCAGTCCGTTCGAAGTAAGTTTCTACAGGGAGGAGACGAATTGCCTGACCGAATGTCAGAAAGTATATTACCAGCAAATCAAGGAGAGGAGCATCGAAGGTTCTCAACTTTACACTTACACTCGGAACGATTCGTATTATTTGGGCGATGAATTGTTAACGAAACGTTATAAGACAAAGTTGGCGATTAAGAATCAAACGGCGTTACCGGCCTTGCAAAATCGCAAACCGTTCTCTGAAAGGCACAATAAAACGGTCGTCGACGATGTACCTGACGAAACAAGGATCCGAACGAACCATTATCTCTATATGGAGCGTTCCACGATGTATGTCATGGTTGATTTATCTCAACGAGATAAAATCTTAACAAGCACCGACGAGGATACGGAAATAGTGCTACTAGCGATTACGTACAATGGACTGAATAAAATTTTAACGGTGAATCCTGACTTCACGGACGATCATTGTTATACTATAACGAATTCCAGCGGTATTCGATTTAATTATTGGCTGGAGCATGTTTCCGAGAAACAATCGTCATTGGAATTACAGCAACAACAAAATGAATCGCGAAAAGTGAGTATATGTATATGTATGCATATATATATGTACGTATATATTCGTATTAGTTACAACACGTTGCGCATTTAAATGTTGTTCCCCTTTAATTTACATGTTGCTAATTAATTCGACAATTAGAATTATCATTGTATTTTTAATTTAATCTTGCAATTAAATTTAGAATATCGAATATCGAATCGAAAAATTGATTAATGTTAATTCAAATTTTCTCATTGTAATTTGATTTTTATTTGAATCTATTTGGATTGTTTAAATACTGTCTTTTCTTAAGTCTCGATGTATTTCAAAATACATGTTTAAAAAACGAAAAGTACTATTATATTTTTAATTATATTAGTATTAATCCACAATTATAAGATTGTAAAGTTAGTATGCATTAATCATCAAAGTAATTTTTCAAAAGTTAAAAATTTTATTAGTACATATTTCAATTGTACGAAGATATAATAAAATGTATATGCATACCCAACATAGGAGATTTCAGAGATCTGTCTCATCACTCTCTGAGGATAGAACATATTTCTTGAATTCAGCGAAAATTAATCACTAACACCAATAATTTCTCATAATTGGGCATGTGCCATACTAAACTGATTTCAGTTGTTTTATTTTACACTTGGTTGAAACACACTCAAAAAATGTGATTGTCTTCATATCTGATTGTGTACTTTCGATCATTTTACGATACAATAAAAATTTATTAACTATTTAAAATATTCTGAATATGTGAGCGATAAAGAATATGTTAAACCGGTGTAGTCTCGAACCCAACTGAATCTTATGGCAGTGAATGGTTGCTTGAACACGTTCATACGTATCACCCACACGTATTCACCTACGTATTTACCCACAAAAACACATACATATATCTATATGTTATATGTACATATATGATGGAGCAGTAGTCATTTAAACGCAGAAATTACTTTCACACAGTTTCGGATTATCACGATCGTGTGGTATATTATCTAAGATATCCTCATGTATATATAAAAAAAAAAACAAAAAGAATATTCTCTTTTTATGATAAAATTATTTGAAAAATGATTAAAAATATTATTTAAAAAATATTATATAAATTTAATATTAGAAATCATTATTCATGATTAAAAATATTATTTTAAAAATATTATATAAATTTAATATTAGAAATCATAATTAGTTTAAAATTATTAATTTTTTAATGAAATATGCAAAGTTATTACCATTTTGATTTTTATGCTTCAGGAAATTAAGGAATGTCTGAAACATAGAGAAGCAGAAATATTTCACAGCTTCCAGTTAGTATCATCAAATGTATATAAATTTTTTATAAAATTGGACATTTTGTCGGCTCATGATTTCTTTTTTGATGGACTTTGCATTTCCTATTATGTTGATTTGCCAGAACATTGGAATACAAGTCAGATTGATAGATTGTTCGGAAGAACTCAGAGATGTAATTTAAAAAATAATTCGGCATATTTTAGTTATGCAACTGAAATATCATTAGATTTTCAATCTACAGTTATGCTTGATGCAAACACTGTTTTATTATCTTGGCCACGATTATTACTATCAGTTACATCACTTGACAGCTGGTTTAGGTAAATTAAAAATCCTCGTACTATGAATGAGGGTAAACAAATTTAATTTAACAATTAAAAATTTCAGATACCGCACAGAAGGTTACGCTATGATACCTTTGCCTGTACTACCTGGTTTATATAAATTTAACATCCCAACTTGGAGACCAACAGGAAGTATCATTAACACTCTTAGAAGATTTTTTACAGGCAGTACTTATGAACTGGAAGACATAACTTATTGTAGTATTCCAAAAGGATATGAGGATAAAATGTTGAATAAGTCACACTTAAATGTTACATCAAGTGGTTACATAAAGTTAAATATGAATATTATTCATCAAACTCATAGTTCAATTAAACATGGTGATCAGTTAGATTATTTTCAAAGACTGAGTACAGATAAACTTATGACTAATATAGACAATATTTTTGAACAATTTAAAGCAGCCAGAGAACGTATGCTGCAAGTTAGAAATTTAAACATTTAATTATTCAATATAAAATGATTGTCATGAAAAAAAAAATCTTTGATACAAAATATTTGAAAATAAATTTTTTTTAAAATATATTTAATGAATTTTAATATATTTAATATATTTAATGAAGTAAAATATTATAATTTTTTTTACTAAGAGTTGATAAAACAATGGTGTACCTGTACTTTCAGAATATTTATTTTTTAAGTTACAAATATATTTTGTTAAATATTGATTGATATTATGGTTGAAAATTGCTTTAAGTTCACATATAATATTTAAATTATTTCTTTACAGATGTTTCTAAACAGCGATACATAAAAGAAAAAATAATAAAATAATTGTAAATATATACACTTAATACAATTGACGAATAATTTATAAAGTTATAGGTCAACATTTGATATGAGAAACATCAAACATTTACTTTATTAACATTTACCAAAATGCATTTTATTCTGTCTTTTTTTTCTTAATTTCTGAATAGCTATCTATAAAATCATAACTTACAAGTTAAGTTATTTTAACATAATATCAATGCGTTTAACTATGCGTCAGATATTTTAGAATTCACTATTATTTTTTCAAATTTAATAAATGTAATAAAAAGGTAGAAAGCAAAGATTCGCATTTTTTTCTAAAAATTGTAGTTAACTAAGAGACTAGAGTAAAGGTGCAAACATACATCCTATAAAGGTTTTAATTATTGCCTCTTTTTTGCAGCTTTCACTGCTTTTGATTTTTGTTTTTCTCCACCAGATAAGAACGATGTTATTACTTCAGACATTTCTGGCATATTGTAATTGGTGAAATTATTTATTTGCTCCATCTCCTGAAAAATATGTAAATAACACATTTGAATCATAAATTCAATATTATACAATGAAACTTATAAAACTATATTATTCAACTTATTTACCAACCTTCCTGGTTTCAGGATCGTTCATTATTTTTGGTATAATCATAATTAGCAATAATGGTAATATCATCATTAAAACCTGTGGAGACATAAGAAAGTGATAAATTTTATTTCTTTTGTACAAATATAAATCCATACGTATTAATAATATTCCATACCATAGGATTGAATAAAAACTCTGTTACTCTCCACTGTTCTCTAACTTGGAAATAACGGAATGGCGTGAGTGGCCTCATTTTTAATGGATATGGAACTTGTATTACTTGAGATGTTTGTATCAAATTAACTTTCCTTGCTCTGAATTTTCCTTTTGAGTTAATCTCTACTCTAACAGGTTCGTAAACGCAGTTTGGATTTACAACCTCGATTATATATGATCCTGAAGGTACGTTTGAAATAATGAAGGTTCCATCTTCCCTGAAAGTATTAAATGTGCGCTTTTGTACACAAATGAAAACTTGTTAAGTTTAAACATCTAACGTAAATTTACCTTAAGAAACCATAATGTTCTCCACCATTAACCATGACATGAGTCATTAACTGCCATCCATTTGGTACTTCGTTTTCCCAAGGAAATACCTTCCCTTCGACAACGTACAGATCTGTCGACGTATCCTCGTCATTGTCGGCAATTACATACTTATTCGATGTGCTGACAATAATGAAAAGTAGAAAAATAGCACTTTTGTACATAATCATATTAGACGTACATTCAACGTATAAGAAGATCGTGTCATATGTTCAACTGTTGCCAACGTAGTAAAGTGTGAATTATAAACATCGAATTATAAATTTTCGAAAGTTATTTCGAATAATTTCTCTGTTTTGATATAAAACTTTGTGTTAGTCTTTTTTAAAAGTTCTATCAATTTTAATAAATTAAATAATATTCGTGACAAAATATAAGATATTGTTTTTATATACTTGGTAATATTGGATTGCTTAATGTTGGCGATATTGTGAAGCGCACAACAAAAGTTTTCCGGACGGGCTAAGTAATCCGAAGATTCGTTTTAGCTTGTGAAGTTGTCATTTCTTATTTTAGAAGTACGTGTATTTACATTGAAGAAGTTAAAAAATAACAAGGACATCAAAATGGACGATAAATTACGTCAAATGGAAGATGAGATGAATAGGTATGTTGGTTATAAACATACACAATGTTTCTAACCTATTATAGTTTCATTCACTGGTTCTTCTATGTATACATTACTTTCTATCATGCAATTAATTATCTGTTTTAAAAACTAATTTTTTATAAAACAAACAAGTTCTTGTACAAATATATGATTAAAAATTTATAGTCAAAGTACTAATGCCATTAATTGATCATAAATTTGTATTATTTCTTAGATTTGAGGCTGAGATTGGTAGTCAGTTGGTTACACCAATGGTCAGGCCAGTAATTGGTGCGAATACTTACAATCAAGTGGCCAGACAGTTGGAACAGCATGAACTTCCAACACCGGTTGTTGCTGCTGCAGCAGCTAGTTTAGCTTTTCCTCCAATAATTGGATTTCCACCGCCACCACCACCACCACCTCCTCCACCTCCACCACCGCCAATGTTAATTCCACAACAAGTAGCAAGACAAGGTAAATAATTATGCGTATCATTTTTTTTT